TTACCATGTCACTAGGCTAAGCTTATCTCATACTTACTACGGGTGTACTTTTTAAGTTAAATCTAGTCCTCGGACTTGGAATTGTTACTTTTGTTAATTCTTACTTTATATATCTACATGTTCTGCAGAATTTATTTTATCAATAAAAATTTAAGCCCCATACTGCCAGTATCTTTCTCCCCTTCTCCCCCTGATCAGAAATTAATGGTTGGTGATCTGTAGGACATGAATTGGATAATTATAAATTGTATCCCTGAAATGTTTTAGAGCCCATACAACTGCTAAAGCTTCACGTTCTGTTGCACAATAATTTTATCTTCTTTAGATAATTTACAGCTACCATAAGCTATTGCGGGATGTTTGTGAAGTAATGCAGCACCCAAGCCTACATCACTAGCATCTGTGACCAACATAAATGGTTTAGAAAAATCTGGATACCTATGGACAGGTAACGAGATCAATGCTGCCTTGAGCATTTTGAACGACTGTTCTTGGGCTTCTTCCCAAACAAAGGGTTCATCTTTTCTTTGCAACTTGTAAAGTGGAGCGGGTATGATAAAGAATTCAGCAATAAATGAACGATAAAATCCTACGAGACCTGTGAACTGCCTCACGACTTCTGCAGTACGAGGCATTGGAAAATCACGGGCAGCAATAATGTTGTATTCATTCAAGGTGATGCTGAAGGGGTGACTCGTTTTGGTACAAGAATCAATGGAGCGTTCCATGGCAAATTGCTTGGCTCAATCACATTACCCTGTAACATTTCCTCAATAAGTCTATCAGCTTCTGCCCTTTGAGAATGCAGTAAACGGTATGCTGGTACATAAATTGGTCTGGTTCCTTGCTCATGGGGAATTTTATGCTTAATAAGAGGAGTTAGACGTAACGTTTCACCTGGTAGAGTGACGACTGCTCTATTCTTGTTCACAATTTCCAAAAGTTGAACCACGGAGTCAGGGAAATCAATAGGACTGTGATATTGCACTTGCACCTCTGGCTGAGATCCATGTTCTCCTGATGGAGTGTACACACACGGTATATTCCACGGAGACATCGTCCACCACTTGCATTGGTAATGAGTAATGAGCAAAATCTACAATGTGGGTGCCAGACTGAAGATGGATGACGGCACTATTAGTGTTTGTAACGGTACTATCCTGCATTACGTGCAAGGAGGGTTCAACAGACGTACTGTTCACTTTACAAGTTTCACTTTCTGCAATGATATCCGATAACTCAGGCACTCCCTGAATCTTAACTCTTACTCTTGTGAGAAAATGAGAGTGCAGCACAATGTCAGCAGCTGTGGAACCACTGACCTCAGAGTTCGAAGCCGCTAGGCGAGCAAGACAACGAGAATCCGTTAGGGTGTCTCCAGAAAATCTCGATACTCACTCTCCTGAGCAACTGCACAACTATGATTCTTCAATTGAGTGCCAGTTTTCTTCAATTGAGTGCTGGTATACTACTGCGACAAGGATCTGACAAACCAATGCTAGCAAGTTGGCTGTCAACAAAATGAACATAATCTGTCTAATTGTTGAACTCATGACTGTCGATTCATGCTACATAAGGGTACGACGTGATCCTTGATTCTAATGTTCCAACGATAGGGGAAACAATACAATATTTTTATTAATCATGGTGTACAAACCTAGGAGAATGTCATCAGGAAAATAGATACTGTCAACAACTAAGCATGTCATAGACAGCGTGATGTCCTTTAACTTGAGTGGGAGATCAATTTCCCCTTAACTGTTACTTTATTTCTTGAAACACCACTCAGAAAAGGTATAGGTGTTTTTCTTACTGTGACAGAATGCCTACTTGCAAATACCTCTAAGAGCTGAAGGCTTGACAATATTTATCTTGGCACCTGAATCAACAAAGACTTGTAAAACTCTACCATGAACAATTCACTGCTTGTGACTTTTGTTGCCTGGGTTGTCTGCGTCTGGTCTGGGTCAAATTCACTCTAGTTTCGTCAACATCTACAACTGGTTTAGTGTCAGTGTCTTCTGTCAAGTGTCCAAATCTATTTTGGGTAGCTACTGAGTACTTAGGGAGGGCACTAGGATTGGCTAACTTAAACTAACTTGAATTGGTTAGAGGGTGGCTTTGAGGGTTTCCTGACGACGTGGAGTGAACATTCTGAGCTCCAGCATTCTGTGACAGAGTATTGTAATTTGACTAATTATTGTAATTATGCGAGTTCTGATACTGTCTTGGACACTGTGTGCCTCACTAAGACTTACCATGGGAGCTACGAGGTGGGGATGACCTTTGCTGAACTCTACACTCTGCAGTGTGGTGGCTAACTTGTTTATGATACTTGCAATATGGGAGCCTAGTTATTAGAATGACGCGGAGATCGAGAAAATTGTCTAGGGGTGATGACCTAGGTGTGGAGCAGCAGTCTTTTGCCAGGTGGTTAGTCTTATCCTTGACAGTTGAGTGGACAACACTCGGATACATAGTCCTAAGGTTCTGGGTTCGATCCCCGGTGGAGGCGGAAACAAATGGGCAGAGTTTCTTTCACCCCTGATGCCCCTGTACACGTAGCAGTAAATAGGTACCAGGGAGTTAGACAGCTGCTTCCTGGGGGTGTGTAACAAAAAGGAGGACTGGTCGAGGACTGGGCCGCAGGGACGCTAAGCCTTGAAATCATCTCAAGTAACAATACCAACATGAGGGAGTGGGTGATCGTGAATTAGAGCGTCTCAGCAACTTATGAGGAGAATTTAACTGTGGGCTACGACCATTGGTGCAGTTCTACGACCAAAAATTTTGTGAGTTTGTGGGGGGAAGGTGCTTAGAGCTTGTTACTATATTTACAGTAATTGGGGGTGGCAATAGTTGGGCATTTCGGGAAGCTAACTTATCTTCCGCAATATTCATGGCCTCAAACACTTCCCCAATTTCGTGTTGACCCAAAATTTGGTGTTTCAAGATAGGTTTGGTGTGTTCTGGGGCAAAATGCACTAATGTCCCAAAAGCTATCATTTTGGTCATTGACACTGGGGTCAGTAATTTGTTTTCATCTACCCATGATGAACTCAACATAGCAGTCTCTAAGGCATACAAATACTAGTCCAATCGGCTGGTAAATGCATTACAGGATTCACCAGGTTGCATGGTGGCATTACCAATTTTCTTAACTAATATGTATGGGTCCAGGTCTCCTTTGTTAACAAAAGGACGGGGGAATAATTCTTTAAAGTCTGCTCATGATTGGAGGCAACAGTGGCTTTCTCATCGACCACAAAATGAGCATCACCTTTGGTGGTGCCAACAGACAACCTAGTAAACGCTAAATAATCATCATCAGAAGGCTCTGAAAAACGAGCTTCGGTCTTTACTTCAACTTTGATAAATCATGATTCCAACAAGCGAGATTCTCCAGTAAAAAGCGGAATAAACACTTCCTGCGCTGAACGCTGGACATTAGTATGAGCAACTGCTCCATTCGAGTCAGAAGAAGTAGCAACAGGGAGTGGGTGTGGGTGTATGTAATGAGGAGAGGGTGTGGGTGTGAGTAGATGGGAGAGGGTGTGAGTAATGGGTGTGGGTGTCAGTAGTGGAGAGTAGGTGTGGGTGTCAGTATTGGAGAGTGGGTGAGGGTGTCAGTAGTGGGGAGTGGGTGTGGGTGTGAGTAGGTGTGGGTATGAGTAAGTGTGGGTGTCAGTCAGTAGATGTGTGATCATGTCTGGCTGTCCAATGCTCTGTCTAGTCTGACAGGGAAGGGAACTATGAGGAGAAAGGACCAAGCCATTACTACTATAAAGCAATATGAAGGTATCGGGATAAGGATTTGATATGGGACAGGAAGTAATAGTGCCCAACCCCTTGGACGGTCAGAGATTGAACGCCGACCTGCATGAAGCGAGACCGTCACTCTACTGTCCAGTCCAAGTGGTTGGGGCATACTGTGGCAGACTCTGTGCAGCCTGTATATTACATCCTCACAGCATGTTTAGACTGATAGCATGTTAAACCTGACAGCTTGTCTAGCCTGATAATCTGTCTAGACCCAGTCTAGCCTGACATTCTGTCTAAACCCAGTCTAGCCGAACAATCTGTCTAGACTTCCTGTTGGCATGTCAAGTCTGACAGCCTGGCAGTATGTCTAGCCTGACAGTCTGTCAAGCATGACAGCAAGTCTAGCCTGACAAGACATATATTGCCTATCCTCTATAGGCTGATAATTAATTTTAACCTATGATATGATGGGACAACTTTTCCAATGGTCTGTGAACTCTGTCCTTCTATCCAAAGCAAATCCGCACATCCCCCGCTTCAGTGAACTCTGGTTCATCGAGTCAGGTGAGTAATTCCGGCCTGGAAAGTGGGCGTTCCAACCGGAGATTGGCCAAATCAAGGTTCCATTGTATGCGTGTATGTATATATGTATGTTTACTTATTAAAAATGTAAGGAAAACAAATACAAAATTGTTTGTTTAGTATGTTTATTGGTTGTATTTATGTTGACACCTGCATATGTTTATGAAACACTTATGATCTGATATTTATATATAATACTTGGACTGTATCTTATAGTGTACTGTACTTGAAAATGAAGACTAAATTTTTCTTATTATGAAAACAAAAATTACTCAACAACAACAGTAAAGACAATTTTTTTGTATAAATGCAATATCACAAATTTAACAAATCGCCATTTTTAAGCAACATTTTGATGAGATGAAGGGTGAAGCAGAGGCAGTGAAACGATTAATACAATGGCCCTCTAGTCCAATGGCCCTCAAATACTTGGATATTTAGAATTCTAAACTTTATTATTCAATAATATATAATTGGATTTTCTTTACCTGTCCAATTGTACTTAGGGGAAGATAAAATCTACTTGTCTGGAACAGATTTTGACTGGCAGTAGACAGAGATGCTATTGTAAACCAGCTTTACAATAGCATAAGGTTGACTTCAACTTCACCAATATATACTTAAAGCAAATCTGATTATTTTCACATTTTTATTTCTTCTTAAGAACATGTTACACACGTCAGCCTATATCCTTGATAGCATGGATAAAATTACTACAGAAACTCAGACTTAGGAAAACACTAATTGTGTCGCACGAGTGAGTGAAAGATACAATACGAGAAGTGATGGAGTAAACAGACAAAGGGAACATCGTATGCCAGTAATTTTTCCTCTGAATAATCCAAGTAATTACAATAAAGTTACTTATTAGAAAAAATGTGCACATTACATCTTAAAACATATTCAAATGCATAAATATTCTAGAAATAGGCAACCAGCAAAATGCACACAAAATACTACAAGTTGCGTATGCAATAAGCATAAAGTGTTTCATCTGTTAGTACAAAGAGGACACCGGGAGAAGCATGAAGGCCTAGGATCTCGGAATGAGTCTTCAAGGAGATCACTAGTTGTCTTGCTACTGTATTCATTCTCTTCCCTGATTTTCTGTTACGCAGTTCACCACCAAATGCTTCAGGTTGAAAGAATACATAAATATGACTCTTAACATCTGCCACAGCCACATAGGAAGCATCTGTATGGACAATGAATCTATGTTAGATAATACAAAATTCAGGTATAACTTATTAACAGTTTAGTATTTAATAATTCGTCACACATTACTGGCTAATATTAGCATGTTAAGGAGCTGATGGCATATCTGCAAAACATAGCAAGATAGAACTAAAAAACTCCATTATTGAATGTACTGAACCTCATATCTGGTGGGGGAAGTAAGCCTTAGTAACGTCTGAGTCTTGCATATCTTACTAGGCCTTTAGTGTGATATGCAAGCTCCATATCACGATGGAGCTTGCACTAGTCCATCCACGATGGATGGACTAGTGTGATATGCAATCAGAATTCCATATCAGAAATTGACTTCCTCAAAGAGGTAAAGGAAGCCTGGGTATCTAAGATCACCACATTACCAAGTAACCATCAGAAAGAATGAATGCTCCAAAACAAGCACCTGCATAGAAACATTTATAATCTTGACACTATGTATAGTAAACACTCGTTACTGGAACAAGAACACTTGTTACTGAACACTTTTCGTGGGCGCCGGTGGCCGAGCGGACAGCACGCTGGACATGTGATCCTGTAATCCCGGGTTCGATCCCAGGCGCCGGCGAGAAACGATGGGCAGAGATTCTTTCACCCTAAGCCCCTGTTCCCTAGAAGTAAATAGGTACCTGGGAGTTAGTCAGCTGTCACGGGCTGCTTCCTGGTGTGTGTGTGTGTACTCACCTAGTTGTACTCACCTAGTTGTGTTTGCGGGGGTTGAGCTCTGGCTCTTTGGTCCCGCCTCTCAACCGTCAATCAACAGGTGTACAGATTCCTGAGCCTATCGGGCTCTGTCATATCTACACTTGAAACTGTGTATGGAGTCAGCCTCCACCACATCACCCCCTAATGCATTCCATTTGTCAACCACTCTGACACTAAAAAAGTTCTTTCTAATATCTCTGTGGCTCATTTGGGCACTCAGTTTCCACCTGTGTCCCCTTGTGTTAAATAGACTGTCTTTATCTACCCTATCAATCCCCTTCAGAATCTTGAATGTGGTGATCACCTCATTATGTCCGGTCGTGATGGTCAAGTGGATTAAGGCGTCTTGTACATACCAGTTGCGTTGCTTCTGGGAGTATGGGTTCGAGTCACTTCTGGGGTGTGAGTTTTCAGTTGCATATTCTCCAGGGGACCATTCAGGCTTGTTCGCATTTGTGTTCCTCACGTGTGCCCCAAAGAATGAGGTGATTTGGTAAAATGCTATGCCCAAGATTACTATCCGAGTGCCGGCGGTAGGGTGGTTCAAATAGCTTAGGCTATCACCTCATTATGTCCGGTCGTGATGGTCAAGTGGATTAAGGCGTCTTGTACATACCAGTTGCATTGCTTCTGGGAGTATGGGTTCGAGTCACTTCTGGGGTGTCAGTTTTCAGTTGCATATTGTCCTGGGGACCATTCAGGCTTGTTCGCATTTGTGTTCCTCACGTGTGCCCCAAAGAATGAGGTGATTTGGTAAAATGCTATGCCCAAGATTACTATCCGAGTGCCGGCGGTGGGGTGGTTCAAATAGCTTAGGCTATCACCTCATTATGTCCGGTCGTGATGGTCAAGTGGATTAAGGCGTCTTGTACATACCAGTTGCGTTGCTTCTGGGAGTATGGGTTCGAGTCACTTCTGGGGTGTGAGTTTTCAGTTGCATATTGTCCTGGGGACCATTCAGGCTTGTTCGCATTTGTGTTCCTCACGTGTGCCCCAAAGAATGAGGTGATTTGGTAAAATGCTATGCCTAAGATTACTATCCGAGTGCCGGCGGTGGGGTGGTTCAAATAGCTTAGGCTATCACCTCATTATGTCCGGTCGTGATGGTCAAGTGGATTAAGGCGTCTTGTACATACCAGTTGCGTTGCTTCTGGGAGTATGGGTTCGAGTCACTTCTGGGGTGTGAGTTTTCAGTTGCATATTGTCCTGGGGACCATTCAGGCTTGTTCGCATTTGTGTTCCTCACGTGTGCCCCAAAGAATGAGGTGATTTGGTAAAATGCTATGCCCAAGATTACTATCCGAGTGCCGGCGGTGGGGTGGTTCAAATAGCTTAGGCTATCACCTCATTATGTCCGGTCGTGATGGTCAAGTGGATTAAGGCGTCTTGTACATACCAGTTGCGTTGCTTCTGGGAGTATGGGTTCGAGTCACTTCTGGGGTGTGAGTTTTCAGTTGCATATTGTCCTGGGGACCATTCAGGCTTGTTCGCATTTGTGTTCCTCACGTGTGCCCCAAAGAATGAGGTGATTTGGTAAAATGCTATACCCAAGATTACTATCTGAGTGCCGGCGGTGGGGTGGTTCAAATAGCTTAGGCTATCACCTCATTATGTCCGGTCGTGATGGTCAAGTGGATTAAGGCGTCTTGTACATACCAGTTGCGTTGCTTCTGGGAGTATGGGTTCGAGTCACTTCTGGGGTGTGAGTTTTCAGTTGCATATTGTCCTGAGACCATTCAGGCTTGTTCGCATTTGTGTTCCTCACGTGTGCCCCAAAGAATGAGGTGATTTGGTAAAATGCTATGCCCAAGATTACTATCCGAGTGCCGGCGGTGGGGTGGTTCAAATAGCTTAGGCTATCACCTCATTATGTCCGGTCGTGATGGTCAAGTGGATTAAGGCGTCTTGTACATACCAGTTGCGTTGCTTCTGGGAGTATGGGTTCGAGTCACTTTTGGGGTGTGAGTTTTCAGTTTATATATATATATATATATATACATATATATATATATATATATATATATATATATATATATATATATATACAGTGTGTCCTCACTTGAACGAACTATATGGGGCGAAGCCGATTCGTTCCAGTGCGGAATTCGTTCCATCCGTCCGGCCCCAACAACCTTCTTATTTTTTTTTTTTTTTTAAACATATGCCAGGACACATTAGTTTGTTTCTTTGTTGGGTGGTGCTTCATTATAATATCTTTCATGCTCTTTTGGTGTCAATAATAATCTGAGATGCGAGAATCACCATCCCCCACCCCACTCACACCATCCCCCCACACCATCCTCCACACTATCCTCCACACCACCCACACCATCCTCCACACCACCCACACCATCCTCCACACCACCCACACCATCCTCCACACCACCCATACCATCCCCACACCTCCCATACCATCCCCCACACCACCCACACCATCCTCCACACCACCCATACCATCCCCACACCACCCATACCATCCCCACACCACCCATACCATCCCCCACACCATCCTCCACACCACCCACACCATCCTCCACACCACCCATACCATCCCCCACACCACCCATACCATCCCCCACACCACCCACACCATCCCCCACACCACCCACACCATCCCCCACACCACCCACACCATCCTCCACACCATCCCCCACACCACCCACACCATCCCCCACACCACCCACACCATCCCCCACACCACCCACACCATCCACACCATCCTCCACACCATCCCCCAAACCACCCACACCATCCTCCCCCACACCACCCACACCATCCCCCACACCACTAGCACCATTCGCCCCCACCACCCACACTCCCCACACCACCACCCACACACCACACACCACCACCCACACCATCCCCCACACACCCCACACCACCACCCACATCATCCCCCACACCATCCACACCATCCCCCACACCACCCACACCATCCCCCACACCACCCACACCATCCCCCACACCACCCACACCATCCCCCACACCACCACCCACATCATCCCCCACACACCCCACACCACCACCCACATCATCCCCCACACCATCCACACCATCCCCCACACCACCCACACCATCCCCCACACACCCCACACCACCACCCACATCATCCCCCACACACCCCACACCACCACCCACATCATCCCCCACACCATCCCCCACACCACCCACACCATCCCCCACACCACCCACACCATCCCCCACACCACTAACACCATTTGCCCCCACCACCCACACTCCCCACACCACCACCCACACACCCCACACCACCACCCACATCATCCCCCACACACCCCACATCATCCCCCCACACCCAACCACACCACCCACACCAACCCACCCACACCCAAACCACACCACACCACCCACACCGTGTATTGAAGCAGCAGGCTTGGAAGCGTCTCAACTCTCCCGACAAAAAAAAATGATGGGTTGACAGGTCTCCTCTCACACCTCCAGGACCCCCCCCCCCCAGGCACCCGGCCATACACACCACAATGCCAAGTCAGCTATTGTTTTCTTCAGGAAACAATAAAACGTGTTAATGATTAATAATGTATATTAATACACGAAAATTAACATATTTTGGCATAAATATTTTACAGCTAAGATTGAGATTTATAATAGAGTATGTATGAGAGGTTTGGCAGCCATGCGTGGTCACCACCCTTCTCTCTCCACTTCCACCTCCCCTGACAACACCTTCCACCACTGACCCCACCTGCCTCTTTCCACCACCTGCCTCCCCTGACACCGCCTGCCTCCCCTGACCCCACCTGCCTCCCCTGACCCCACCTGCCTCCCCTGACCCCACCTGCCTCCCCTGACCCCACCTGCCTACCCTGACCCCACCTGCCTCCCCTGACCCCACCTGCCTCCCCTGACCCCACCTGCCTCCCTTGACCCCACCTGCCTCCCCTGACACCGCCTGCCTCCCCTGACCCCACCTGCCTCCCCTGACACCACCTGCCTCTTTCCACCACCTGCCTCCCCTGACCCCACCTGCCTCCCCTGACCCCACCTGCCTCCCCTGACCCCACCTGCCTCTTTCCACCACCTGCCTCCCCTGACACCGCCTGCCTCCCCTGACCCCACCTGCCTCCCTTGACCCCACCTGCCTCCCCTGACACCACCTGCCTCCCCTGACACCACCTGCCTCCCCTGACCCCACCTGCCTCCCATGACACCGCCTGCCTCCTCTGACACCACCTGCCTCCCCTGACCCCACCTGCCTCCCTTGACCCCACCTGCCTCCCCTGACAC